TGAACATTGTTTCAAAATCAAGTGATAGAGCCAGTTTCATAAAACTTTTTAAACCACAACTTTTTGAGTTTAAGGAACATGTCAATAGAGTCAGAAACCAGTATCATGCATTACAAGATCTTAAGGCTAATCTCCCTCGAAATCATATGATTGTGCAGATGGATTTTGCCGAAAACTTCAATTGCAAGACAGCTGATGAGGTGCAGTCGTCTTATTTCAATAAATGCTATGTGAGCTTGCACCCTGTGGTAGTTTATTACAAGGTTAATGACACATTGCATCATAAAAGTTTTACATTTATTTCCAATGACTTAAGCCATAATGCAACTTTCGTTTTTTCTGTAATCAAAAGGCTAGTTCCAATTCTCGAAACTATTAACTTAGATTTACAATGCATTCATTATTGGACAGATAGCCCAACATCTCAGTACAGAAATAAACATATCTTCTCTATTATTAAAAAGCACAAAGATCATTTCGGAGTTGATTGCACATGGGATTACTTTGAGGCGGGTCACGGGAAAGGTCCATGTGATGGAATAGGTGGAACGGTAAAACGGTGCGCTGACCTGGCTATTAAACAAAGAAAATGTACTATACAGAGTGCGGATGACTTCTACACGTGGGCATCAAGTAGCAATATCTCTGTAGCCTTTAAATATATATCAAAAGAGGATATAAGCCGATATTCCATCATTTTAAATGAAAACATTGCAAAAAACTGCAAACCTGTCAAAGGAACCTTAAAGCTGCACTCGGTTCGGAGGAACGGCAGCTCGATCTGCATCAGAAACACATCGTGTTATTGTATGAGTTGTTTATCTTATGAGTTCTGTGCTGGTTGGAAAAATGTCTAATCAAGAATATGCTGGTCCGAAAAATGTACATGTTATTTATGAATCTGATTGTTTAGTATTTACAATGGAATTAAAACAAACAGATGCTGTTATAAATGAATTGATGTTTGCTTATTAATCAAAGAAACAATATTATTCATAGGATCAAAATTAAAATTATATTTCTCTTTCGTTAGCTGTATATTTAATTGTTGAGAAACTTAAACATATGATATTTAATTTTTATCATATTTTAATATCAAAGTTTCCAATATGAAACAAAGAAATGTGGAATAACTGCCTATCATATTACAGATACCATATGTCATAGATGTCAGGAACTATAGACCACCTTACGGCTTTCAACAATGAGCAAAACTCATACCCCATACCAAGCTACGACTTGACTTCTGCTGTCCTTCATTTTTGTCAGTTACTTGCATGTTATCTAGTGGTCATTATCATAAATTGAATGTATAAACACACGAAAATAACATACACAAATAAAAACACATTAAACTTGACATATAAAAAGGGGAAAACATTTATATAGCAATATTTCATCGCCAGTATCAACATCATATTTAGAGATAAAAGCGAAATTTTATGTTGTAACCCGCTCCAGGATAAAAGAACCAACAAAATAGTTTTTTACATGTTAAAATATATATGTACATCAGTATTATAAATTTATAATATATTATAAATAAACTCATCATAGTAAGTAACGATATTGCGCATTTCGTTTGTTTGTTTGGTGTTTAACGCCACCTTCTTAGTCCATCTTGCAAACTTAAAAAGTGTTTTACATGATCTTTTTATGAAAAAAAAAATGTTCTGTAACAAGTTTGACAGAAAAAAATGCAAAGTTTGTGGTGAAGAAACTCAAAAGATTGGTGTAAGACAATAAGTATGCAGACATTAGTAATAAATCTTCATTTTATCACACGAGAAACACGCAGGTTTATTTCAATTTATAAAGTTTGAACTAATAAAATACCTTAAAAAGAAATGGTTTTAAAGGTTTAAGCATTATTTTTTGTTTGTTATAAATCATACTATCAGATTACGACGTCAACGGAAAAATAAAGACGTCATTTTTTTACAACATTTTTATTTTTCTCAACCTCAACTTCAACGATCAATACTACATAATGGTAGAACATTACATGCTAAAATTTAAATGGTGGATAGTATATACTATACGGATGCTCTATGCGATTTGTTTAGACATTTTGATGCAATTTATTTTCTATCATTTTTGAGCCCGTACATGGGCGCTTTACCGGAGAAACAGTGTAAATCCCATGCCTCGTGTAGAGAGAGTGTCACGCGCTTTGCACGTTAAGAACCCTTGCAACAACTCTTGGAGGGGTCCGTATGTGGCCTGTTGCAAGGCTACATTTCTGTCCCTATCCAATATACACTCATTTTCCCGTGGCAGTCCAAATTTTCCCGACCTGCAACCCAGTTGACCTCTTTTACCGGACCTACCTATCGTATTTATTGTTAATTTGTTCTCTTCCTAAACATGCATGAAATATTTCCCACTGACGTTGAGCAACCAACAATCAATCAATCCTTCGAAGTTTTCAACACCACCATCCGTTGCTTAGGCAAACTCCCTAAAATAAAAAAAAATAAAAATTTAATTATGACCCAGGGACTTGATAGGCCGTGTTCCTATGCAGAGGAGATGTAAACATGACGTGAATGAAAGTTCCTTCTCTGAGAATGTTGGGGTTGCCTATTGTTGCTCATGTTCCTAGAATTCTGATAACTACTTTGGTTTATACCACACACCTCTTTGAAGTGATCTGTTCTGTCACATTTAAATCACTTAGCATTAAACGTTGGACATATAATCTTCTTTTAGTAAAACATTTACCAAAACCAAAGCACACGTAATCTTGTCTGTATCGTCTTGATTCTTGTCTTTCAGGATAACTTGAAGCACATAAAGCAGGAGATGTCCTGTAAATTACATTAACGGCCATATCTAGACTTACCCATCTTACATAATGAATAGCAGCATATTTCAGCTATGGAACTTCTAACAATAACTGAAGTTCTCTGAACTTATTGCTTCTCTAAGCTAAACCACTAAAAAAATATAAAATATTTGACAAAACCATTGAGTAGTGCTTGATATCAGGGACAAATTGAGCAGCTTGAGACGTAGCCGGTGCACAACGTGAGCTGAACAATGAACACCAAAAATTTCTGAATTTTGATTCTGAAACTTTTTAATGACACCGTTGTGCTTGCCAGTCATTATACTGGCTCCATCAGTGCCAATGCCAATGAGACGACTGATGTCTATACCTTTCTCAGCCAAATGTGAAACCATAACACTGTAAATTGTGCTAGCATCTGGAGTTTGAGATGTAATTTGGATATTTGTGTCTTCAGTGTACTGGCAGTACAATTATAGAAGTGGATTGTTATTTGCTCTATCAGTACTCTCATCTACCATAACAAAATAAAAATCTGATTTATTTACATCATTTACAATATATCACATAATACTTTCTGCAATACATGACTGATATTCAGTTACAGATGCCTGACTAACATCAGTAGCATTTTTAGCTTTACAAAGTTTAGATGACAAGTCTAACCCTGCATAGTCTAATAAATCAATTGTTGCAGAAAACTGGCTTTTAGGTTGATCTTTCACTGCTAGATGATAAGAAACGTTCATAGCAGAAGTGATGGCTTCTTCATTTTCACTAAGTTTATCTTCCAAAACTTTTTTCATACGAGCTTGTTCTTTAAATTTCAGGAAAGCCTGTGCATCTATATGTTCACAGGCTGTAACATACAAAAATAAAATTTTTATTGTTTTTTTTTTTCATAATTTAAAATTAGTTTCTTTATTCATATACCTCTGGTGAAGATTTGTCTCATTGGCAATCATACCACATTTAACTGTTTCTTTTTTTATATTAAAAATTATATTCAAAATAATGTTGTAACATGTTATTATTTCTGTCTCAATGTGCATCTAACCCACTCTTATTTTTGACCGATCTAAGGTCACGTTAAATACAATAATAAAAAAGTGACTGATTATAGGTAGCATATAATACAATTATCTATAAAAAGTAGTCGAATTTATTGAAATTTTAGTAAAAAATCAATAAAGAAAGTTGCCTAGCCAGCTGAAGGACGCCTCCGGGTGCGGGAATTTCTCGCTGCATTGAAGACCTGTTGGTGACCTTCTGCTGTTGTCTGTTCTATGGTCGGGTTGTTGTCTCTTTGACACATTCCCCATTTCCATTCTCAATTTTATTTTATTGACTGCAAACACCTCGACAATTAACACCAATTCTGATTAATAA